TTAGCTGTGCTTCTGATGTAAAGGCAGATGTCCAGACATGAAAGGTTATTTCTGTTTACATCTGACTGGAGTTGAGTCAGTAACAGTGCCCTGTAATATCACACTACCCTCAACACCTGAAAAGCAGCCCTTTTCTTCATGTTTTCCTGGCATTCCCAATGATGGCAGCTCTGTGGACAAGAGTGTACAGGTAAAATACTGACTGAAAACCTGTTGCATTTAACATAATTGCACAGACAAACATTCAACATTTCAAACAAATTGGCAAATACAAACCCATTATCAAAGGTTTTGGGCTGACAAAATTAAATAAACAAATGTTTTGGACAGAAATGGTTAAGCTCCTGATCATTATGATCATTCATTTAACTCACTTTTAACCCAATGCTTCCAAAGCTAAAACAAAAATGAGAGCAAATTCTCACCTTGTTTGGTGCCCTTCTCAGTTCTAGAGTAGTAAAACATAATTAAATGAATGAATGAATGAATGAATGAATGAACAAATAAATGACAAAATCAGACGTGAAATGCGATTAGAGCTTGAACTTTCATTGGCAAAAACTCTTAGTCCACACATAAACATTTCTTTGGTCAATTAAACATCTGTTTAGTTTCCCTAAAGAACAAATTAAATGTAACGTTAGGTTACTAACTTTAAGTTTTTACCATATTAGCACTAAAACGTTTAATGATATGTTTACTAGAAAGTTGAATCCTTTCTCAATGTCACGCTTCATGACGTCTAAAGCAGGGGTGTCCAAACTCGGTCCTCGGTCCGGTGTCCTGCAGAGTTTAGTTCCAACCCTAATCAAACACACCTGAACCAGCTAATCAAGCTCTCAATAGATATACTAGAAAATTCCTGGCAGGTGCGCTGAAGCAAGTTGGAGCTAAACTCAGCAGGACACCGGCCCTCCAGGACCGAGTTTGGACACCCCTGGAAAGGTTACGAGCAATACTTAAAATAGAGTTGTAGATATTTTTAAATCCCCTTACTGTCATCTAGAATAATCTGCTGTTTGTTTTGCCATCTTCAGTAGTGTAGTTATTCTAATCTACTGTGAAAGACAAGTCGGGTTTAATATTGTCACCTTGTGGACAAACACAGTAGTGCAAAAATTATCAAAACGTGCGCAAATTCTATGATTAATGGAGGAACCAGGCTTTTCAAAAATCACCACAAATCTTCATTCCCCCTTTAGTCTATTAAAAAAGTCCACTTTAAAAAAAAAAAAAAAAAAGAATTAAAACATGAAAGCCAGAGAGTGAATTCAGACACTGAGTGCAGAAGCGCTGCCGCTTTTGCATTTGTTTGCCGTTCAAAAATCATTCGGTACTTGTCCCAACTTAGAGCTCTAATAGAAATTCTCCAGTAGAAATTAAAATATTTATCTTAACTCATGTAATGATGTCGATTTTATGCTGTAAGATCTTTAAATGGAGGAAGATATAGTTACTAGGACTTGTCACTATGTCAAAACGGCAAAACAATGACTAATTTTCGAAAGGGATTTATAACCAACAACAAAACGTAAACAAACGAAAACACATCCTCAGCTTCAATTCTGTATACTTTTGATATGTATATTTCATCTGGCTATCGAAGCAAAGAGGTTCAAATATACAGATTTTAACGTGAATTTTAAGTGTCTAAAATGTAGTTAAAATATACACAGCCCAAAACCCTGAAAAAGCTGAAAAAACTACTTAAACCAGCCTGGTTTTAGAGGAGTTTTGGCAATTCCAGGCTCGTTTCCAGTCTTGTCTAAACTGGTCAGGATAAGAGGTCACCAGGTAAAACCAGCCTAACCAAAACCAGCTATGTCCAGCTTAAACCAGGCTGGTCAAGCTAGTTTTAGCTGGTCTTTTTACAGCCTGACCAGCCCGGAAATGGCCAAAAAACCTCTAAAACAAGGCTGGATTAAGCTGTTTATTTTTTATTTTTATTTTTTTGTAGGGTTAGCATTAGCATTTATCTCATGTTAACATCTTATACATTAAGCTGCCGAGTAAAAAGATGTTCAGATGTGTAAAGTTTAACATAAAAACAACAAATCAACTAAACGTTAACGCATAAAACAATAATGTGAATTGATAGACAAAAAAAACATAGTTAATGTGTTGTTTGCCGATTAAAATTCATGAAATTCATTCAGTATAAGAATCATGAAGTAGCAATACAATTAACCAAATGATTTCACTTCAGAATTCTTCTTATTTAATATTATAATGAGCAGCATTGATAAGGTTATGAATTTCATAAACATCCTTACAATGTTAGCGTTCTATGCAGATACCAAATAATCTACAATGTACCATATACAGAGAGTGCAATACTGTATGTAAACATACAACATTATTACATTCATTATGTTGGATGATAATATACAGACAAAAATAAAAACGTCTGGCCCCCAAAATCTCTCTGACAGAGCTTTAGCAGTCATCTTTGGTCAAAATAAAAATGTAAATAATGTAGATTCATTAAAATGTACACAAGCAATCTAACTGAATCATATACAGTAATACAGATTACACCAATAGAAACTTTTGATTGAAGCCCATGCAACCAAAAGGTTTAGAATACAAGAGGTTTCACACCTCAGATTTGTAATATCCACAGCTTTAATACCGAATTCTTCCAAGGAAGTTTTGTTAGGATGTGATCCACAAGCAGAACTTTAATAGTCATGCTGTGTTTGGACTAAAGTTTATAAAACAATCTAATAGTTTCATACAGCATCACTAACATTTAACTAGCCACCGTCACAGAATACAGGCCATTTTAAAGCCTGTTGGAAGAAATCTGTACTGCAATTTAACTCTTCTTTTACCTTAGCCTTTGTACAAAATATAAAACACAATAATTTTTTTTATAATGTAGCTTTTTTGTTGTTGAAGATATTACTAATCATTTAAAAATCAATTCAAAGAGCAGCCATTGATAGTCCAGCCCGATCTCACAAGAAAACATAACTATTTTATGAATTGTCAAAGAAAATGGCTAATTTGTACAAATTTCATTGGTAGGAAAAATAAATGATTTAAAAGGAAGCATGTCCTCCAAACCCCACCCCTAAACCCAACTCTCATTGAGGGACAAGCAAAACATACTAAAATGTATGAATGTGATTGTACAAAATAGGAATTAGCCACTAAATTAAAGTTATGAATTGCTGTGAGATTGTGTTGGATGCTGAGATGTTGTCAATATGTGACAAATGTTGTGTATTGCAAGTATTTCCAGGGAAAAAAAATAAGAAAAATAAAAAATAAAGGTTTGCTTAACATACAGTATTTAGTATAGAAGTTTGTTCCTGCTTTGCAATTCAAAATGTGAAACGTTTTATTTCACAATTCAGACTTTACCTTCTTTCAGAATTCTCAGTTTACATTTCACAGTACTGATTCTCTATGCACACATGCATAAAATTACACAAGCTTTAAATAAAACAAGTGTAAAAGTATGAGGAAAAAAAAGGCAAAAATATTTGATGTAAATTGCTTATTATTGCAAGGAAAATGTATAACAAAGGTTGTAGCATTACAAAATTATTTTATTAATTGTATTACTAGTTTTAGGATGATAAGAACAAGTCTAAAATTATATAAATATGAATGACAAAAAATAGACACTACCGGTCAAAAGTTTGGGGTCAGTTAGTTTTCATGCTTTTTTTTTTTTTTAAAAGAAAATTAATCTGTGCATCAAGGTGGCATTTATTAAATGTAAATAAAAATATACACTTATTTATTAAATATTTATTTATCACTTATTGCATGTATTTTCAAATAAAATTCAAGTCCAGTCATTACTGATTCTATTAGTATTAGCATTCATTAATTCATTTATTTGTTTGTTTTTTGGCTTAGACCCTTTATTAATCTGAGGTCGACACAGCGGAATGAACCGCCAACTTATCCAGCATATGTTTTACACAGCGGATGCCCTTTCAGCTGCAACCCATCACTGGGAAACACCCACACAGATACACTATGAACAGTTTAGCCTTTCCAATTCACCTATACCCCATGTCTTTGGACTTCAACACGAGGAGAACATGCAAAATCCACACAGAATTGCCAGGCTCGAGCGACCTTCGAACCAGCGACCTTCTTGCTGTGAGGCGATTGTGCTACCCACCGTGACACCCCTACTATTAACATAAATAACTCAAATATTAATAATAATGACAATATTATATAATATTAGAGTAATTTCCGAAGTATCATTAAGCTGAAAATTCATCATTAAACCACTGTAATAAATTATTAAGTTAAATTCTAAGTTGCCAAACACGGAATCTGTGCACGCAGAATTCCGCAGATTTTCCACAGATTTCAGCAGATTTTTAGCCTATCATTAATTCTGTTAATTTACTTGAATAAATGTGTGTAAATCTTTATTTATTCAGTTTTTAAATTAAGTAGTAATATTATTGACTAATATGAAAATATTCATCTGATTTATGTACAAAGCAGTTTGTAAAGTAATGTTTACAGTCTTTTAGTAGATATATTATATGAGAGACTTGCTTTGTTTATCAAATGAAGTGAATCTGGATTTGCATTTGAAACATTAAATAAAAATTAACAAGATTTTCACATATTAAGGTTTTAGTTATGAAACTTCCAAAATAATTCCGCAGAAATCCGCAGATTTTTACCAAAATTCTCTGCAGAAATAGCAAAAAACATCCTCAGATTCCGTCTGGCCCTAATTATAAACCACTTTTGAACAGTTATTTTGTAGTGCAATAACATTTTACAATGTGTTCTTGCCTTGGTGAGCAGGAGAAGCTTTTTTAAAAACATTTAAAAATCCTACTGACCCCAAACCTTTCACCAGTAGTGTATATAAATTCTGTGAGTCAAAATTGTGAGATTTAAACTTGGACTTTAGCATTTAAAATTGTGAAATGCAAACTCAAAATTCTGTTAAATTGCAGGAGAGAACTGTAATATAAAAAGTTGAATAATTATAACCATAACATTGTGCATAAAGTTAAACAAACTAAACACGGCTCCCTTTTAATGAAGACATAATAAACCATGTGACCCGACCACCATTAACAGTTGATATGTTGGTTTGTTGATTAACCAGTCACAGTCTAGTCGAATCCAGAAGACAACAAAACACCAAGACAGACAAATTGTGCCCCATTTTGTTGTTGACTTAAAGTGATGCTACAAGAGAGTCCAGCTCCTTCTGTGCCTCCTCATCCTTTAGAGAAAGAGCAAAAACAATTGTGTTACTACAAAGAAGACTCAAATTTCAAAGAAATGCGATTGATGTAAAGAAGAAAAAAAAAGACCTCTTTAGTCACGACGCTTATGGTAGAGGCAGCGTCACACATCTGTTGAGCAACACTCCTCTGGCCTAAGTCTTTATAACACTGACAAGAAAAGGGACAAAGGTGAAATGACAGAAAAGCAAGTTCCAGATGTCCCTGTTAGGCTTTAGTGGCTATGCTGCAATATTTATTGAGCCCCCTGTGAGAGAGCATACATGTGTTGACTATTGTATGAAAGCAAAATTATGTCGCCTTCTAAGATATCTTGAGCTCTTGAGATCTCTTGATCTAGAGATGGTAGAAGAATTTTAAAAAAATGTTCCATTTAAAACCACTGTTGAAACATTTCTTGCAATTAAAAACGTTGAAAACATTTGTGCAGCTTAATATTTTTGCATACATAGCAGAGCAAAATAAAATAAAAAGCAGCATCATTTAAAAGGTTTTTGTGTAACATTTTAATGTCTTTGTACACTTTGTCAAAAGTCCAGGCGCCTATCCAAGTTTTAGGAACAACAAATAATAACTGGACTTCTAGTTGATCATTTGGCATCAGAAGCGGCACATATGAAAGGCAAAGGCCTCTAGATTACGCTTATCTTACTAAAAAAAATATGATCATGACTTGATTTTTCATTATTTAATTAGGACAGTGAGTTCTGACTTGGCTTAGACAAAAGTCTTGTCACTTGGCAGCACACGTCTTGATACCTCAGGCTGTTAATGTTGCTATCCACTCTGCAGAATTCTCATATGCCCCAATATTGAATGTAACCCCAAACCATGATTTTACCTTCACCAAACTTGACTGATTTCTGTCAGAATCTTGGGTCCATGTGGGTTTCAATAGGTCTTCTACAGTATTTGTGATGATTGGGATGCAGTTCAACAGATGATTCATCTAAAAAATCAACCTTCTGCCACTTTTCCAAATGATCAACTAAAAGTCAAGATATTATTTGTTGCTCTTACAACTGGGATCGACGACAAGATTTTTGTCAGGTAGCACACACGCACACACAAACAAACTGACAGTGCATCAGTCAACACCAAATACTGAAATTAAGTCAATAAAAATAGTACTGAGCACATAAACATTAGAGTAAATGGTAAATCACAATAAAAATGTTAAATAGTGCTATAGCTGGGAACCATTATGTAACTGTGACAGAGTAAATAAAACATGTAAATGTATTTTTTTAAGAGTCAATATTATTATAAATGAAAATTGAGTCATCATTTGCTATATGACCAAGGTCAAGGTCAATTATTTATTAAATGATGAACAAATAAGTTGCACACTTTGAAACATTTGGATATTTTATTTTTTTACGGCAGGTCACTTTCACTACCAGTTTTAATACTAATAATACTTTATTAGTATGAATTATTAATAGTATAACAGCGACAGATCACACTATTATGTCTTTCTTTTCTTTTCCATTCCTTTAAAACCTGTTTTAACACATTTTAAACGTTTTTAATTTTTTTATTCTTTGTTGTTTTTATTTTATTACACTTGTTTCTTTTATTCCTGTTTATGTAAAGCACTTTGAATTACAATTGAAATGTGTTATATTACTAAACTTGCTTTGCCTAATAATGCTTTATTAAATATATGCTTACATATATTTAATAATGCTTTATTAGTAATGCATTATTAAATATATGATAACAACTATATATATATATATATATATATATATATATATATATATATATATATATATATATATATATATATATATTAGATATTTCTCCATTTTATTAGATAGTCCATACAGCACAAGAATAAAAGCAATGATGACCCTCTCTTCAAAATACATAATTTACCCCAAAATAAAAATGTACTCATTTACTTAAAAGATGATATTTTGAAGAGTGCCAGAAACTGCTGCCAACAGTTCCAGCATTCTTCGAAAAATTATTATTATTATTTTTTTTTTGCTTTCAACAGACAAAAAGAAACTCAAACAGGTTTGGAACAAATGGAGAGTGAAAAAATAATCACAGAATATTTATGTTTGGCTGAACAACTGCTTCAAGTCAAGGTGTTAAACCAAAAGAGTCATTACCTTAGCTAAAAACACGTAGTTAAATTTGGAGTACTTGGGACTGATCTCTTCTGCCTGTAGAATGAAACATAGGAGAGAGCAAGTAAACATCTGTCATTCACAGTCAGAACGAACTTAGTTGACCGCAGACTCTTGAGCTGTTTGTGTAACCGGATTCTTTACATTTCAGGTAGAGTTGGAGAAATGAGCTCATGAAAACACATCTCTCTTGACAGAAGGACTGCTCCTGCCAGGTAAACATCGAGTGAGAGTCCTCCAACACTTTGCGTGTTAAATGAGATATTAAACAATTACCAAGGCAGGTTGTAAACCTCCACACTATAATCAGAGCAATAAATAACGATTTTGACATTTACGAGACTTAGGCAATGACTCAATATATAAACACTGCAGTAGCCTATACTGTACCAGGGTTCACCAGGGTGCAAACGCCATTTGAAAGGCAGATTTGCATGACTTCTATATCGCTTTGAGCTGCTATTGACTGCTGGACAAGAAAATATTAAACACTCTCAAAAATAAAGGGACAAAAGTTGTCACCTGGGCAGTGTCCTTGTAAAAGTTACACTTTTGTACTAATATGTATCATTAGGTACTACTATGAAGCCTTTTTAGGTATACTGTAAAAAAAAAAAACCTGGTTTCCAAACAATTCCTTCATGTTGATTGAACATCAAAAAATGAAGTTGCCCCCCTCACCCTCACCCTCCAAAAAATAAATAAATAAATAAATAAATAAATAATAATAATAAAAAATAGGAACTGTTTTTGAATTCATTTTGAATACAAGTAGTTTGAACAAGCAGCAAAAGTCATTTTTTTGAGAGTACAAATTTCTGTAAAAAGTGATTGATTACTTGTTGCCTTAATAGCGACAAATTGACTTGAAAAAAAAAAATGAAACCAACTGTAACTTTAAACTGTTAAGTTGACTTAATTTTTAAAAATGTGCACAGTTACCTTTGAAAAGGTACTGGCAGCAGGACAGCTTTTGTTACTATATTTCCAATAGTGAAGGATATGTATTAAAGGATTAAAAATATATGTACAGACTTTAATAATAAATGTAAACTTTCATTAAACTTTAAACACAACACAATGCAATGGATGACAAAAAATAGCGGTAAAACACCAATAAAAAATATGTAAAATTATATATAGCTCAGTATATATGCAGTACAGTGCATCTGGAAAGTATTCATAGCGCTTCACTTTTTTATATTACAACCTTATTCCAAAATGGATTCAATTCATTTATTTCCTCTAAATTCTACACACAATTCCCCATAATGACAATGTTAAAAAATTTTTTTGAAATTGTTGCAAATCTTTTAAAAATAAAAAAGCTGGAAAATCACATGTACAGAAGTATTCATAGCCTTTGCTCAATACTTTGTTGATGCACCTTTGGCAGCAATAACAGCCTTAAATCTTTTTAAATATGATGCAACAAGCTT